CTTTCCCTAGTTCTCCGACTTGGAGAGAATTGTATGGAATCTTGACAAAATAACTGAAACTGTTCTTTTTCAGCATTTTGCACAATGTAACAAACAAAGCATGTTTTTAAGATTTTTTGACATCACTTTAATTGCAGTAGATACTGTGCTGACAAGTAGTGTGGGTAGGGACTCTAAGAGGAGAAAATAAATGCTGGTGGGATAGTTGGAAGCTGTGAATAAATCTGAAGCTGAATTGGTTGTTAGGCTGAAGTCAATAGTGCTGGCTCTCCAAAGGAACATTGCATAATTGATCCACACACACCCTTATTTAGTGGTTAATGGTTAGAGTGGTGGTTCACAGTGAAACAGTTTCCAGTAGCCCAAATGAAGAAAAATGGTGCTTCTCCTTGAGAAGCATGCTGATGGAGTAGCCTCTGGAGAAATAGCTCCAGCCAGCAGACAGAATGTTATGGTAAAGGATGCTTGAAGTAAGAAGCAATGCCTTGCTTTCATGTTCAGATTGTAATTTGTTTGTTCATCTCTTGTGTATAGTTAGCCTTTTTTGCAGTATGGCATCATGTTGTAAGGGGGAGAATGAGCTTCATAAAGAGGAAAATCCACTGGAGAACTCAGTGGAAAGGAGAAGCACTAATTGCTTTGGGGTGGGATGTGCTGAGATGGTGCTTCATGGTTTCATATAAAGGCTTCAGAAATGTATCACAAGTAGCCCATTGGATGTGTTAATTAAGCTTTAGCAACAAAGAAACCCATTTTAGCTGCATGAATGTAATTTTCCTGGTGAGACTTTAGAGTTTGACATAGATAAACTCTAGAAGATTTGCTTCATAGTGTTGCTATTGCCTGGCAGATTTGAATGAGAAGGACTAGTTTGTCGTGAAGAAGCCCTCTAAAATGGGTTAGAGATTTTAAATGTATTGAAAATGTGTGTGATAACAGGGACAATTCTATTCAGATGGAGCAAACTTCCTCATCACCAGGAAGTTGCATAATTTTTCAGTTCTCTGGCTACTATCTATTAAATGATGTCTGTTTCATTGATGTTTTAGTGCTGTAACTTCAACAAAGGCTTTTATGCAGGTAGAAGTTCTTCCTAGTCCCTCTCTTGGTTTTCAATTAGACTATTTTCCTTTTGCTGTAATGTTCATCCTTTTTCACTTTCCAGAGAACTAGTATTATTTGATACGAATGCTTCCCTATTTCTGTACTGTGCTTGTGTATTAAGAACACAGTTGTTGCTTAATCTGCATTTCTTTGCTTTAGGGGAGCCTGGCTTGAGGTATAAACTCAATTGTTTTTGCTTGGAACTTTTGAGTACTTTTAAATATTTACCAAAAAAGTTGAGTATTCAGCAAAAAAGCTAAATACTTACCACAGCAATTCTACTGGAAAATAATCTTCCTGCAGAACTTTGATCTTTTAAAGTATCTTTGTTACCAGATGGCCCATGTGCATGCTTGAGCCATTATAATCCCCAGTATTGCCTCATTAATATATATTGGAAGGCTGCAATATTTTTTTCTATTCTTATTTGTAGTATTTCCAGTAGGGATTACTTAATTTTATTTCCCAGGTTAGTAGAACTAAATGCAGGAGAAATACCTACAATACATTAAGACCTCTTTGAAGCCTGTATATGTCGCAGGGAAAAGCCAGGTACAGCTTGGTGAAGGAGTTCCATGCAACAGCAATGTGGAATGTTGTTGTTACTTCAACATTGAATAGGATGTCTGCAGTGATATGGGGATGCTTATTTTGTTGCACTCTTATACTTTGTCATTTTTGAAGATTCGGTTTGTTAACTTACAGATAGAAGCTTTTGTAAGAAAAGAATTGAGCACCCACAAACTGCTGTTCAGACACCTGCAAACAGTGGACTTCTGTGGGTTTGCATATAAGTAGTTAGAGCTAAGACAGAGGTTTCTTGTAAATCTGACAGAGGGCTAGAGTTGCTTTTTTTTGTGTGCGAGCCACTGAATGGTCCAAGTCATAATCTTGTTTCAATTATAAATGTAGAAAATATTCTGTTCTGGGTCTTAGACAATGAAGGGGATACAGAGCATAGTTTCCAGTTAAGTCTGTGCATGCCAGATGAGTATAATTGGCTTATTCAAATGAGAGTCAGAATTGTTGAATTTTGTTTGGAATGCAGCTTCTAGCTTGATGTTCTCAAAATTGTTGTGGAGGCTTTGTTCATCCTCAGTGTGTGGGGTTTCAGTTATACTAAGAATGTGCTTCTCTAAAATGCTTTCCTCATCAAATGAGCTGAACTGTCTGCTGCAGATGTCCTGTGGATTTATTCCCTTGTTAGGAATCATGAGGGATTTGTAAGCGAAGTAAACTCATCAAATATTCATTTCATCATGATCCATAATACCTGTTTTATCCTTTGCAGCTACCTTAAAATGAGATGCATGTGTCTAGGGGAAGCTTCACTATCGCATATAGTTTTATTTTTTCTTTCTGTGGGTCTTTGAGAGGACTGTTGGAAATGCTTTGAACTAATTCTGGACTTCCACAGAGCATTTGGTTTTTGTGGAAAGAAGTATGCCCAGATGGGAATACTTGTACTGATCTTTGTACACCTTCAGATTTAGAAAGAACAAATCCTTGCATTGAGTTTTCAGTCTCCTGTCTTTCCTCCTGGAGCTGTCAGTGCTTGAAATGGAGTTTGAGCACCTGGGTAGGTCCAGGAGGGTGAAGAATATGGAGCATGGGGTAAAGGGGCTTTTGAATTGCTCTGCAGCAAGCATAATAGAGTTGAATTCCAGAAGACTAATTAAGTTTTATGTCTCTCTTCTTCCCTGTAGACCTGTTAACCTAAAGGTTTCTGTGTATTAGTGATATTCCAAGGAAATGTTGAGTGTTTGATGCATTAAGTCAGTCTTCATGTTAAAATTTGACGAACACTATACTTGTAATAGTTTCTTCAAAAGCGAGCTTTCTTTCACATTGAGCTAATGATGGCTAGTAATAGTTGCTGTTGTCCTTTTCTAATATATGCAGGATGTGATTATTTAAATGTAGTTCAGTATCTTCCATCTTGGAAGTGAATCATATGAGATTAAATAATTTCAGGTCATTTTAATGAAGTATTTTCAATTTACCAAAAAATCCATAAGACAATCACAGTTGATTTCTGTTTAAAAAGTTCTGTAGGGAGACCTCAGCGAAGGTACAAATTGGAACCATAAGTATGTAAGTAACACTCAATTACAATGGTTTAATCTTTGCAGGAGATCAATGGGATCACTGCTGCATTGGCTGAAGACCTTTTCCACAAAGGTAAAGAACTTGCAAAAATTTAACTGGGAATAGTTTCTTCTATGTACATGCATTCGTATACCTGTGATATTTGTCTCCAGACAATGAGAGATCTGAATCTTCCATATCAGACTATGAGACTTTTTCTTCCCCTTCTTCACCTTTTTCTTACTGTTTGCACTTTGTTTCAAGCTGCATTTTGTGAGGAGCTATAGCAGTAGTGCAGCTACATTTGGAAACAAAACAGAGAAATTGGTGAATTTGGATGTTGGAAAGGGCCTACTAGTCTGTGTCCTTTAAGGGATAGGATGTGGTACTGGTGTGAGAGGCTTTTGTTAAGCTTTCTGTCTTATGTTTTAGTGTAACCTCTAAGAAGTTTGGTTCATGAGTCCTCATACAGTGTATGTTAAACGCAAGAGGCCACTTGACATATCTAAATTAATATGCCAGAATTCAGGAAACATGAGACTTTCTGGTCAGTTAATTAAAGGGTCACCTTTTCTGAGGCTGGCAGATGAAAGTGACATGTTCTCATTGTAACTGCAACAGCTCTAACAGGTCCATTAACAGCAGGAGGCATGTGAAATGATTAACCTGTGCCAATTTTGTTTTGAAGGACATGCTGGATGCTACTGTATAATTCCAGTTGTCTGAGGTGATAGGTGAAATGTGTTTCAGCATGCCATTTCAGATTGTTCTGGCACAAAATTAACATTAGGTGAAGCCATTTCGGAGGGTCCATGCAGCAAATTTTGAAATGTCGTAAGGAAGCTCCTGAAGAAATCCTTCCTGACTTTGTAGTGCCTGCAGTCTCACTGATAACCAGAATCATTGATGTCTGACTGCTGTATATTAGCCCAGCCTTCCAGTAATGTGTAGATGGACTCTTGGATTTGCTCCCACTGAAGCCAAAGGGAATTTTACTCCTTGGAGTATTTCTGAGAACTCTGCTTACCATGAAAGCTGATGCTTTCTTGTTCATGAAGTCAAACTGATTGTCTGTAAAAGGAAGAAGAGAAAGATATTTATTCTGCATGTGTGTGTTCTGACTGCTGTAGTCCAATTAACTCTTGTGGTGCCTTCAGAGAGGCTTTCAGATGCTGTTTCCTACTGTTCTGAGAATGAAATGGGTTTGTAAATATATTATCAGATAATGCATTTCCTGTTCTGGGAGTTTACATTGGTATTAGTGTGGTGAAAGTCCTCTTATTTTCCAAGAACACATTTGCTACAATTCTGCATTTAGGCAGCATAGCAAAAGGTGTAAGGCTTGGTTTTTTAGATGGCAGGCACTGCTTTTTCTGAATAGAGTAAGTCCTAACTGCTATAGAACTTAGGGTTATCTTGGAAAAAGTTTAGTATGTCTTACATTATATAAATGAACTTTGTCTGATTCCAGTCCTGTTAAGATTGAGGGAAATCTGCCATTAGTTGCATTAGGAGCTTCAGGCTTGTATGGTGAGAGTACCCAGTTGAACACCTATATTATTCTGGTGTTAAAAAACAACACTTCAGCCATTCTAGTTTAAAGTGGCAAAAAAGGACATTGTTTTGATACCTGAATCACGAGCTTAGAATATAAATGACAAACACTTAATCTGTAACATTAGATCTTCTGTGTACCATTTACTCTTTTGTAACCATTGCAGTGTTGTGTTTGATATCATGGTACTCTGTTTTTTCAGGAGAGCAGTTATTAATGGCTGGAGAAGTCTTCACCATCAGACCCTTGCAGTTGTATGCTGTCACTCAACAGTTGCTACAGGGAAAGCCTACATGTGCTAATGGAGATGCCAAAACAGATCTAGGTCATATTCTAGATTTCACTTGTAGACTCAAGTATTTAAAGGTGAGCTATACCTGCACAAATACTGGAGATGTTGTTTCTACCAGACTGATGTGATTCTTGGCATAGTTTTGGAGTTTAGATTGCACAAGAACTTTACTGATAGTAAACACCTGCAAGCATTTAGAAGTCAATGTTAAACCGGTGTTTATTCTGTCAACCTTCAATGCATGTATAGTTTTCTAACAAAGATGTTGATTCTGTGATGTGGTCTCTTCAGCAGTGCTATCTGTAGAGATGCAGTCACAGAATCTTAGTGGGTGCTAGGAGGAATGATAGATAAATATTATTCCCTTCAACCCTACATTCTTTGCAGACACTAAGGGTAGACCAGTGTATATGTATACATATGCATACATGCATGTGTGTATATAACTCCTGTCGTCTTTCTCACTTTTGATTGTATCTGAAAGTTAAAAACAAACCCAAAACAAAAACACCTCAGTTTCATAGATGAAATGGCCCTGAATTTCTAGCTAAAATACCATTTCAGAATAAATGTAAAGTAGCTTCAGAACAGATAATTTTTGTCTGGAGCTAGTTTGTTTTTTTCTACCAAGTTAATTATAAAGACTTTTCCTGAGTAATTTTTTTAAACACTGCTTGCTACAGCTCAAAAATTCTTTTTAGCCCCTTTATGATATGAAAAAGAGCTTCCCTTTAACTGTGTGGTGTGTTCAAAGGGGAAACAAAGGAGTGGATCAGGGGAAGCTTCACTGGTGGACTTAAGTTGCAAAAGCAAAACCACAGTTGTACTGGTATTCCTGTGGATCTTCAGTTGCCTTTGCCATCCTGTGTGTGTATAGAATCCTCTGGACAGAGGATTCTCTGTCTGGAGAAGAGCATATTCAGAAAAATACCCATCTTCAGAATTTCTGGCCCTTCTGAATGCTTGTGAGTGGGTACCTTCAGAGCTTGTAAGATACATGTAACACCAGACAAAAACCTTACAGATTTCTCCCAGAATTGTATTCACAGCAAACATAAATGAAACCACCTGTCTTTTGTGCTGCTGATGTGCTCTGAGGCCAGAACCCAATGACCACATGGAAATATTAGATGCATTTTTATTAGATATCTAGCAATGTCTAATGTTTTCTTCAAACCCATCTTGTCAGTGCCTTGAACTTGATTCCCTGTAGTGGAATTGAAGACAGTTCTGTTTTGGAGCAGCCAGATGTTTCAAGGAAGTTGTTTGTGTTTTTAGTGAATGCGGCTCTGGCTTGGTCAGCTGAGAATGAAGCCTTGGTCAGTCTTACCTATGGTATCTTTTTTGCATGCCCCATGTGCTACAAAATACAGGCACAAGGTGGCAGTTCAAGTTCAGTGCTTCAAGTTCAGTGCACTTAGAGCAACTAACATTTTTTTTTCCATGAAGAGTTAATATGCATGTTTCGTGAATCATTCCATACTTGAAAAATTTGTTGGAACATTGGCTGTCTTTCCATGCTACTGTATTTGTGCTGTTGCCTGTGGAAGACTATCTGAAATGCAGACAAGTTGGATTATGTGCACTAACTGTTCATAAATGTTGATTACTAGGTCACTGGAACAGGGGGACCTTTTGGAACCAGTAACATTCAGGAGCATCTCTTGCCTTTTGATCTGTCAATTTTCAAATCGCTTCATCAAATAGAGGTATGACTGAAATACTGATCATGGTTTTATAGAGGTTCCGTGAATGCCATGTCTGCTGCATATCTCTCAGAATTTACCTATGGTATCTTTTTTGCATGCCCCATGTGCTACAAAATACAGGCACAAGGTGGCAGTTCAAGTTCAGTGCTTCAAGTTCAGTGCACTTAGAGCAACTAACATTTTTTTTCCATGAAGAGTTAATATGCATGTTTCGTGAATCATTCCATACTTGAAAAATTTGTTGGAACATTGGCTGTCTTTCCATGCTACTGTATTTGTGCTATTGCCTGTGGAAGACTATCTGAAATGCAGACAAGTTGGATTATGTGCACTAACTGTTCATAAATGTTGATTACTAGGTCACTGGAACAGGGGGACCTTTTGGAACCAGTAACATTCAGGAGCATCTCTTGCCTTTTGATCTGTCAATTTTCAAATCGCTTCATCAAATAGAGGTATGACTGATCATGGTTTTATAGAGGTTCCGTGAATGCCATGTCTGCTGCATATCTCTCAGAATTGGTAACTGTATGCTTTGATTTGGTGCTAGAATTGGAGAGTGCGATGTTTAGAAGAACTGTTTCATTTATGCAACAATTTTTTTTTACAAGTCTAGGAAATAAGTATGCCCAACTTTAATGTTTAGAATAGCTTGCACTGTGTGTGTCTTTAAAAAAAAAATGTGATTTCCAGCATATGCACAAAACCTAAATCAAGGTTGCTTTCCATTGCCTTGAAGATCTAGCAAATGGGTTATGATGGGATCACTTATTACAAAGTACTTTTTGGGAAGCACCAAATATTTCTGAAAATTTCCTGACATTAAATTTGCTTGTGAAAGTACACTTTTGGATATAGTGCTTCTTGCTTGAAAATTTGCAGAATTTTTTCACTGATCAGCTTTCAGTGTGAATGACAGGGTTTCTAACAGGAGTTGTTCAATGAGTATTTTACTAAATACTTCCTGAGCACTTCAGATCTTTGCAGAGAGAATATCCGATTGCATCATACAGTCTGTGCTCTGTGTCTACTTTCGGTGGGTGCAGTACCTTTTCTAGTACATGAACAGTATTGTCTCATTGATATGAGAGACTGAGTTAGTTAAGAACTCAAATGGATTCCTGAAGTCAGTGATGTATTGACATTTTAATGTGGGAAGGAGACTACAGTGGGCTGAAGGAGAGTGTCTAACATACTGCAGAGAGGATATTACAGAATAGTATTAATTTTCCCCTTTCCTGTGAGCATGGATAGTTTCAAATGTAGCTTTGCTTAATGTGGGGAGAAAAATGAAAGAGTTTTGGTCTTGAAGACTTTGGTAATTGTATGTTCGTGAAAAGTTTTGGATTGACGGGCACCAGACTGACATTTTCAACTAGTAGTACATACTGTCCAAAAATTAACGGTGGTAATCTGGAAGTATTTTTTTCAAGGGTGGCAGGAGCTCTGTTTCTCTCTGTTTAGTGCTGTTTCCCTGATACACCAGCATATGTGCCAGTTGTAGTGGTTGCACAATGTGTGTGACTGTCTACAGAGAAGGACCTGGTTGCTGGACAGAGGCTGTAGCAGAGCTTTGGCATTGTTCCAACTCGAGCTACAGAAAAAAGGCTTTGTTATCTTAAACTACTAGCATATTAAATGTTTAGATTAGTATCCTCACTTCCTAGGCATTTCTGTTTTCTTATTTACAATAAAGAATATATGTTACCTAAATAAACGCATCTGCAGGTAGAGCTGTAGTTTGAGGTACCTTTCTTTTTGCTACTAGTAAAACTGCCTGGGTAGTTTCACCTTGAAGAATACATGGTGCAGGTAGAAAGTCAGTGGAGAAGAAGCTTTATTCAAATAAATGTTTGGATTTGTTGAATGTTGGTATTTCTGACCTGATAATCTCATGAGATTTTAAGGGAGTGCTGTAACTGCTTTCCAGATTTGTAGAGGATCTGCTATTGCAGCTTTTAGCTGCCTCTTCCATGTCTCATATTTGTCTGTTCTAGCATTTCTGACTTTAACATAATTTTTTTGATAGATCAGTCATTGTGGGGGAAAACTTATCAAAGGGCTGACTTCATCAAAGCATGCTCTGGCCACAATGAGCATTCGATTTTCGGCAACATCAATGAAGGTAAGAGTGAATTCCTACTTCTGGTGAGTGTTTAAAGCACATGCAAAAGTAATGTGCATGTTGTGGAAATATCCATGTACTTTTCTGCACTGCCTCTTGCAGGTTCTGCTTTTAAAACCATGGAACTGAAGGGATTTGCTAACCTTTCAGAATCTCAGCTTTAGTAAGTGGAGGAAGTGTTTACATATGTCCCTTCACAGGGGCATTTCTGATGCTTTTATTGGAATGTATGTTTCTAGTATTCATCCAGAACTGAATGCATATGTCTTATTCTTTTCTCTGGGCTTTGATTTGGCAAGAGATACCCAGTAGCATAATTTTCACAGTCCCTCTATTGTTCTTCCACGTTTCCCAATTTGGATTGATGGTTAGTGTTGGAACTCCCTCCCTGTAGATCTAAAATAATTCTGACCCGGTCAGCTCACATGTTGAGACCCATGGCTTTAATCTAGGTGATTATAAAGCTTAGAAATCTTCCTTACATAAGGTTGTTTGGATTGTTTTCAAAACTATTAGCTTTCACTGAAGATATAAGCAATAATATTTTAGTGTGCTTGTCTTAATTAGGAAATCCTAGTGCCTGAGGCCTCTGAGTTTGATCAGTGGGAGCCAGAGGGTGCAACTTCAAGTTGTCCAGTGACAGCAGTTATCCCAACTTGGAGGACCTTAACAACTTTGGATATGAGTCACAATAGCATCTCTGAAATTGATGACTCAGTGGTAAGAAATATTTTTTAATTTGTGAAAAGAAGCATGACTGGTCTTCAATGGCACATTATACAGCAGGGATTTTGCATTTGCTTCATATATCTTTTTTCTTAAAGACTTTTGGTTGCACTTTATGTTGGTTAATGCTTAGGAGATTTTTTTCTTTTACTACTTTGGTATTTTCTTTGCTGAAGGAGAAAAGTTTGTCACTCTGTGCTCTGTAAGCAACACTCCCATGAATGCTGGCTTTTTGAAACATGTTTCTACTGTTTGCATTGGCCTTAGGCCACTTACAAAAGTTCTTTTTTTTTTAAAAAAAAAGAACAAAACACCTCTTGGCCTCAACTTTGGAGCATTATCAAGGCTGAAGCTTCCTGCATATGTAAAAACCTGTGGCTTGCTGGCAGCTTTCTTGATGTCAAAAGAGTATGAAGAGTGTGGAAAGAAAATTTGGAATATTTTGCCACTACCTTGGAATTGTATTTTGGGAATTGGTTATTACAAAAAGTTAGCATTCATTACAAGAACATGTGTCAAATATGAACATAATTTTTTACTTGAACTACTCTTGTGAATCAGGAAATAGTATGTCTGTAGCTCAGTTAGAGATCATGAACTTGGAGTGCGGTTTTCTTCATGTCTTTTTGTGATGTAGACTTAGGGTTCTTCAGGTCTGAGTCCAGGCCTTAACTACAAGGCAAATGATTGGTGAGGTTACAGCCAAAATAAAGCAGATATGAATACATTGACGTAAAAATTCAGCATCAAATTCAAGGTTTGAGTCCTCCAAAAATAAAGGCCTTTCTGGGTTAAAGTGCATTTTCGAGAGCTTTACGTGACCTTGTAAATGCTTGGCTAGTATAATCAAAACACGGAAGCAAATCCTTGAACTTATTCTGGTTTTTGATACTGTTGTCTTTGTCCAGGTTTCTGTGTAACATAGATATGCTTTCTTAGTAAGACCTATTAATGAGTTTGATCTATAGTTAATGGGGCTAAACTGGGAACAGCTTATTTGTCTTCAGCGAGAAACCAGGTTTCGTATTAAAACTTAACCATGCTTGTCAGAGTAACCTGGTTTTAAGAGCAAGATTCAACTCTTCTGTTGCACTAAGTGATACAGAATGCTTTTTTAATATCAAAAGCTGAGAAGAGAGACTGCATTGGGCGATACCTTTCCTTTGCTTGTTGGTCAGCTGGTAGTGAAGGAGGTATGGACTGATTTATAAGCTAAAATGCATTTAATACAGGCCTTTTTTTCCTCCTCTTCTAGAAATTAATTCCAAAGATTGAATTCCTGGATTTGAGTCACAACGGAGTGTCTCTGGTAGAAAATTTACAGGTAAGTGATGCTTTTGAAGGTGAATTTTTTTCCAGGCTCCCCAGGACCTTTGAACATGGATTTTCTTGCTTCAGAATTTTGTTGCTCATCTTCCTCGTGGAAAATAGTTTAAGCCCAAACAGCTTATTCTTCATAATATCAACTACTTTTATCTTACTAGCATTTCTTACTTGCTCTGAATGCTTTCATTTTTTGCCATTATGGACATACAATATTTATCTCTTAACGAAATTAATTCACTGCCAGCTGTATCTGTGGGTTGATAAAAAAGCAGTTGAGGAAGTTCCCTTTCTACAACCTTGAAGCTGTGTAATGAACAATTTCATGTCATGTTTTTCATGCTAGGTAGTGTCCACTGTTGCACAAAAAATGAGCAAGTCGTAATACAGTGTCTTTGATATTGTTTGATTTTAATGAATTGGTATCTGACATGTATTTTTCTGTGCTTTTGTAGCATCTTTACAACCTTGTTCACCTGGACTTATCCTACAACAAGCTTACATCACTAGAAGGTGTTCACACAAAACTGGGAAACATCAAAACTCTGAATTTAGCAGGAAATCAGCTGGAAAGGCTGTGTGGTCTTAACAAACTATACTCATTAGTCAACTTGGATCTGAGCAACAACAAAATAGAACAGGTAACTTGATTTTCAGTGTTGAATTGTGCTTTAAATCACAAGTAATTTCTTTTAGTGTATGAAACTGCCAATAAATAAAAGTGGCTGTAGTGATTTTTCCTGGTTATCGCATGTCTGTAATTTATGCAAGACTGTGTGTTCATTTTCATTTAGCCAATCTGTATTCATCTTTTATTCAAAACTTTCAGATTGATGAAGTAAAAAATATAGGAAACCTCCCGTGCTTAGAAAAGGTGGTCTTATCGAGCAATCCGTTGAGCATCATCCCTGATTACCGGACCAAAGTACTTGCTCAGTTTGGGGACAGGGCCTCAGAGGTAAGCCATGGAGCAATTCTTCCTTTGAAGCATTTGAAAAAATCTTTTTTAAAGCCAGGTGAGGAAAGTAGTGCAAATGTTCTAAAAACCTGATGATTTTTTAGTGTGTGTTGGAGAAGATCTTTTAGAGAATGAAACCATTTTAACATTTTGACTATGCTCCTGGATCTAAATGAAAATTTACCCTATTTTCATTAGGTAACAGTATGTTAATATTGAAACACAGTTGTGCTAGAAGGGTGTTAAGCTTACAAAGCATTTCTGAGTTTGCATTAAATTCATATCATGTCAGAGCAGGGTCTAATGTGATTATTTTTTTTGTGTTATGGTTACAAAGATGCACATAGTTTGCATTAAGCTAAGATAATTTTTTACTATCACATTAATAAAAATAAATTGCAGAGCTGCCTTGTTTTCAATATTTGTAGATGTTTTAACATTTTTTAGGTCTGTTTGGATAACATCATTACCACAGAAAAGGAACTAGACACTGTGGAAGTGCTGAAAGCTATTCAAAAAGCAAAGGAGGTGAAATACAAACTGAGCAACTCTGATAAAAAGGTGAGTTTGCTATGAGAGGAGTAGAATGTGCTGTGTACAAAAGAAGCTTATGAAAAACTTTTAGAAATTAGATCTAAGCGGAATTCCGTAAACTTTCCTTAGCATTAAAGTTTTTACGCTTTCTTTGTGCATTAATGTGGCATGAACTTTAACATTGCCTCTTTCCTATTCAGTTTTCAATGTAGATTCAGCAGTTATCTGCCCTTCCTTTTTGTGCTGGCTTGGGAGAGAGGAAGTGGGAGGAGAAGATAAAATGACTTAATGGTGTATACAATGAATGTGCAGTTGACCTTAACAGCCATATTTTACATCTTATACAACTATTGTAGAGGTGTGATTTTACTGCTTGTGTTGTAGAGTACTGAAATGACTTCCCCAAACTTCCCTCTTGTGGGTACTTAGCAGTGGGAAAGAATCAGAAATCTGACTCCTCCTTGCCTTCTCATGTGTGTCTGTGTGCTGGGTTGTTGCTTAGTCTTTTTTTGGTAGTAAACTTATTATCAGAACCTGTTCTGTCCCTGCAGTATAGAAACCCTGTTTTCATTCTCATGGTTTGTGAAACTCACTGCTAGTTTTGTCACTACAGTGATTGGTCAGTGATCAGAATGACTTCTCTAAGTTAATTCTTAGTGGAATTCCACTTAGTGTGAAAATAAAAACTTCAGAGGATGCGATTCCCCCCTGCCCCCAAAAAAAAAGGCTGGCACTAACTTTCCTTTTACTGAAATTAGGAAAGCTTGTGTAGACCTATTTTAGTTCAGGATCTAATGTGTCCTGTGTATTTAGGTTTTTTCTTTAATCACTGCATACTTTCTTTATTAGATCAGTGAGGACTCCAGGCTCACTGCTGCCAGCTCCAAATCAAACTGTTCTTCTCTTACTGTTCGTCCTTCCTCTCCCTCTCTGCCTCGTCCTGTCAGCTCCAGCCAAGGTAATCATGTATGTATCGTGCTGCTGGGCTGAGCCTCTTGGTTCTGCTTTTCTAAGCTGCATTGATATACATGAATATTATGTGCATGGATATAGGACTTATCAAGACAAAGCAGAAAGACCTGGTAGTATTGGCTTAGAAAGTGGAAATTGTATGTGGATCAGCAAAACTGACCTGTTGTTCACTGTAGTGGAAGTTTGGGTACAGGACTTCTTTCACTGTATTGTCCTGCAGAAATCACCAGCAGAGGGCTATAACTTTTCCTGGTTTAGATACATGCCTTAATGGAAAACCATGGCATGTATAGACGTGCTTTAAAATTGCTTCTTTACCTGTTCTGAGTCTGCAAAATGTGAGCTGAAGCAGTATCTGTTCCTTTATTGCTTTTTTGCAAGAGCTGCATTTCTGTCAAACCAGAGGGAAGATAGGAGATGAGTAAAGGACAGTTGTGGGATTAGTGTTGTGACTGAACCTGTGATTTCAGCACATCTGTTGTGCTCTACAGCACCTGCTAACCTTACCTGAAAATTATTTGTACTGTATGTTTCAAATAGGTGTGCCTGTTGCATTAGGAACTTAGAAGGATGGCCTATCTTTCATCTTTTGCAGCAGCCCGAAAGACTAACTTATGTGAATATTAATTTGTGACTGAGAGGAAGAGATAAAAATATGGTTTTTTTTTGGCTTTTGCGTGATAGAAAACGTGGAATGCAGTGTAGGATATGAATAGTGAGAGAAGACTTCATAACTCTTTAAAAGAATAGGGATTATATTCTCAATAATTCAGGGTGGAACAGTTTACTCTCACCATTAAATTGGTGGATGGGGAAGAGAAACATGCCTGAAAAGCTTGGTCTTTGAAAAAAGTCCATTGCTGTGATTTCTGCAAAATCAGTAGAAGTTTCTTAGTTCACTCTATAAAAATGAAATTGTTCTGACAGCATTTGATTAAAGGACAGACACCTTAAGATACAGATTTACTTGCTATTTGTGTAATACATTTGCCTTCGTAGCCCTTTTAATCATTCTTCATCTGCAGATAAAATGCCAGTTTTTCCAAAATAAAGTCAATGCTTGCTTTGAAGTATTAAGCATTTAAGTTACAGGATTGAGACAGCTTGTCTATATAACATGCTGCAGTTTTATACAGGACTAGCTGTAAAAATGCAGACTAGGAATCACTGACTGTTTAAAAGTTATTTGTCAGTAGTCTTTCTACTACTGTAAGTGTTTAGGATCAAATGAGTCTTGGGAAGAAAAAGGTTTACATCGTTCTTTCTGAAGTACTTGAGAGTTTTATAGAAAGACTGGTATAAGATTCAATGTTTATTTACTGTAGTCCTTTTCCATAAGGTTCCTTTAGTAGAATCTTGTCGAAGGTTTTTATAAATAGTGGGGAAAATGAGGACTAGGGCAGGCTATTTCTCCAGCTTTAACATTAGAAATTAATCAATTGCTACATACCTGGCTATCAAGGCTTGCTTTTAAAATACTGATTTTGAGAAATCTATTTCAAAAAATGGAAATATGCTAGGCAATTAGTTTCCCTGTTAGACCTTAAATCATGAATAATGAAATTAATTTCCTGATATGCTATTTCTATGAATTGTTTTCTCTACAGTTTTTCTAGACACCATCTGTTTCCGTAATGTATTATTCAAATTAAATGTCACTGGCAAGTGGCTTATGGAAAAAGATTAAATATTTATATAGGAAACAGAAAACCTGAAAAAATGCTGTCATGTTCTGTTTTTCCTGTCAATTTGAGTTTCCTTCTTGCTAACACAGTATTTTGTTCAAGTAATGAATACCTCTTGTGTTTCCTGTGATTCTGAGATGGTTTGATGTAATCTGCTAAATTTTACCATTAATCCAGAAAGATACATGCAGGAGTTTTTATGCTCAAGGCAGAAACATATCCACACTGTAATTCTGTTGTTTGTTTGCACATTTATATACTTGAGCTGGCTGGCTGGCTCACTGGTAACACTGAAAATGGATTTGCCCTGCTGTGAGTATCAAACAGGAAAAAAGTCAAATCTCCCTGAAGATGTTGGCATATATGCACTCATAATAACTTTTTACTGATGATTCAGCTTTGAACCCTTCAAAAAGGTTCCAAGTAAGGTGAGGTGATTGTCTTGAGTGGCATTTGAGGGACCAGACCACCTGAGTGTGGTTGAAGGTTTTACAGAGATATTATACTTGTTCACTTGAAACCTACAGAAATTTGAGAGAATGCTACGAAGTTTACAAAGAGTGCTTTGCTGTGTTTTTGCCAGCCTGGCAATGTTTTAGTAGAAGTGAAAGTTAGTATTAACAAAACTGACTAGTTCTGTTAAAACTAAAATCATGTGAAGAATTCTTGCATCAGATGTTGAGATTTACATTGATTGTTAGCTTGAAAAATGAGCTTTAGCAGTCTTTAACGGAACTTTTAGTGCATTTAAAGATACTTCTGTAATTAGACTAAAATTCTACCTGCTTTTGTTTGTCCTGACTGTTATGTGAAGATACCCTTGAGCTTTAATGATTTATGATCAGATCTTGATCACACAATTTTAATTCCACTTGTTTGGCAGGTACTATTAGCTGTTCATTTTGGTTTTACTTCAGTGATTTTAAGAGCTGTTTGCATTTGTTCTAGAAATAATTTGTGAAGAAACAGTCCTAGCCAACAGTTTTTTGCCGTCCAGTGGTTCGACTCCTACAGACCATACAGTTCCCCAGAGACGCTTTGAAATACCAGACTCCAGATGTAAAAATCAGGTAACAGCTATCCTTCTGTTTGTTTCTATGTTATATTTAAGTGTGTTTTGCAAGCTTATTTCTGATACTAAACTTCAGTTACCATAGTAATACATAGCAAAGTTTTTCTGGTTCTCAGAGGTATTATAATGGAAAAAGAGGTAGCCCTAAATTTGAGTGAAGGGCTTGGACCACCTTGTAAATTAGATGCATAAACCAAGTTTTATCAGAGTTGCAGAGAATTGTTGTCACTGTGTCATGACTTTGAGATGTTTACCCAATATTAGTATCACATCATTTAATATCCACTTAGATACTGAGTGTAAGACTTCTATCGTATTACAATATCGGTTTTTGGAAGGTGATTCTTTTGCTAGTAGAGTGGAAGAACCTTCTCCCTGTCAATAGGTAATGGCCTTAATTTGTCTCCTTCAAACTCCTGGTTGATAACTTCTGTATTGTGATTTCATTTGTTGTATTGGAAACACTTTTCATATGCATGGCTTCAAAGAATGAGACAGCAAGACTTGGATGAACCTCTTTCTTTGCTACCAGCATAGCTGGCCTTTGTCAAGTTCCTTTACCTTTTTCTGTCACTTTACATTACTTCAGTAAAAGTTTGTAGTGTGCTGAAATGTCTATGGCACACAGGTTGGATCTGTTCTCAAGCAAGTGGCAGAGTTAATTCTTTTCCTGCCTTAACTGAATGCCCAACCTGAAGTAAACAGTGTTTCAGGATCCTCAAAGGGTAGCTGTTCAGCTGCCTGTGAGTACAACAGTCAGGACTTTACAGTGAGTGGGCTAGCTTTGAAAAGCAGAAGCCAACATTAACTTTTTCTCATGTATGCTGAAGTCTGACAGCAACTGTAAATAGTTGATAGCTTCCTGAAGTTTTCTTCTCCTCCTTAGGCACTTGCCTCTCTGGATTCATGCAACGAGTATGGAAGTGTTCATCATATGTGGTAAGCTAGATATCTTTCTGGTTTAAATCCTCGTTAGATTTTGGGTAATAACAGTGGATGCTGCATTTTTAAACCTGGCCTTTAAGGCAAAACAGTCTTGTTCATTATATTGCTGCTTCTGGTTTTTTTGTTTTTTTTAACCAAAATCAATTTCATGATGTAAAGTGTTTTTAACCTTTGAACTCTGGAATGCAATTGGTATTTTCAAAACCAGCAATAGCTGTATTTTAAAGTGCTTTAACTCGTAAGGGTATGCTATTGGAGTTGGGAAATGGAAGAAGAGTTAAACGTTTTAGTTTTCACTTTGAATAGAATTACATGCTACTATCCTCTAAAATCTATGGCTGTTTGCAGTATGAAGATGTTTTACAAAATTACACTGACTTAACTGTACTAACAAGTGTAAACCTCAAGGTTCTGTGAAGCAGCACCATGAATTGTAGGTAGCTGTGGTTGTTTTTAACTTGTACTTACTGTAGCTTGTTATCTCTTTTGAAGTTTGGATCATTCAGAGGAAGAACACTATACAGTGCCTGACCCCTGCAACACTGTCATCTTGCCTTTTAATTGTATGTCATACACTGCCACAAACCAAGATTTTATCCAGCACCTTTCTGCCTTGATAGTGCAGACTGTGCAGAGATCACCCACCTCCTTTACAGAGGATAAAAGAGGTCTTCCAGGTGATTCCAGAACCACAGGCAAAGAAGATGGATATTTTGAAATGGGGCTTCATGAAGGAGATCGGGCTTTTGAGTTCAGCACTACTTCAGATACTCTGTCATCTGACAACATAGCAGCGGAGAGCGTTGACATAGTCAAAATTCTCTGGAGTTTTTCTATTCATATTCATAAAGGACTCAGGCAGTTTGCTTCCTGTTTGGTTTTGACTGATGATATGCTAGCTGTGTTTGAGATTCCTCATCAGGAATTGAGAGGAAATTGCCAGCACATACCTTCTGCCCTGAAATTAATGCTGTGTTTTCCATATACTGATCTAGCAGAATTTGGCTTTCTCCTACCAGAAATCTGTTTAACGCTGAAGCTGAAAAACGGTGACAACTGCTTGTTTATTGTTTCAGACTCCCAGAATCTTCAAGACTTTTATTCCTGTTTACACATGTGTTGCTCTCAACACTACACGTCAGTGTTACCAAGCTCCACATTGTACTGTGAAAAAGCAAACCTCCAAGAGTTTCTCTGTCAGCTTATGGAATTGAATTGTATTTCAGCAGAAGATGTTGAAATTAAAGGTTGTTTCCCAACATATCTTCTTCATGGGAATAAAACCAGTGTTCAGAAAATCTTGCATCGACCAGAGTCAGCTGGCAATAACAAAGAATGGTCCAAAAATGTTTTGTGTTCTGCACTTCATTCTTCGGTATATAAATCTTCTGATCAGGGTCCCTGTGTGGTCCATCCGTGTTGGATATTTCTAACACCCCAGCATTTGTACATAGTAAAGGTGGATTTTAGTTTACTGCCAGGTAAATGGGTAAGCACAGAAGAGTTGGGAAGTGTATTTAAGCTGAATAGGATTCCGTTGGCATCACTTGTGTTGCATCCGACTCATGGTTCCATCCAGCAGAAGGGTTCATTTTTGGATGGGCATGTGCTGGAGTTGCTCGTTGGATACAGATTTGTTACAGCAGTGTTTGTTCTACCTCATGAGAAATTCCACTTCCTAAGAATCTACAGTCTTTTAAGGACACTCCTGCAGGATGTTAAGACTATTATTATTTTCAAAGCTTCAAGCAAATCAGATGCTGCAAGAAATCACATTGTGGAGGCAAACAGACATGGTCAGTCAGCAAGGTAACAATTCCCATAAAAGGTCTGTTGCACAGTGCTGAAGTTGATGTGGCCTAGCCAGTGTGTTTGCAGTTGTCATTGTAATTGTTTTTGGCCTGTAGGATTGATGAAATACTTAATTCTGCTAGTCTGTAGTATGTGTGAACAGTTATCATCGACTGTACCTGTCTACCTTTTCTGTTTGTTTTCTTTTATTGTTGTAACATAAAATGTATTTCCTTATGGAAGGAGACTGCCTATTTCATGTGCTTGCAGGCTGAGGTCATGGCACATTGACAGCTATGCTCGAGAGAAATTATTTAAAGTAATAAGTTGTCTGTTCCTAATTTGTGAATGAAATATAAAGTATTTCATGTAGGGGGGAAGAGCTGTGTATTTCCTTAAATTTTGATGATGTGTTTTCTGGATCTCTCACAGCTTTTGCAAGCCTCATCTGATGCTGTCATCTTTATATCCATCTGAATTTCTTATGCAGAAGATAACAGAAGATAACCAGATTCCTGTTCACCTTCATGTTTCTGTGTCTCTGCAGTATGTGGCTGGGCTGAAAGGAAATGCCGTAGTTGAGTTTTTCCATGGCAACATTGCAGAGGTATTGTGCCTAGCCTAGGTGTATAAAAAGGTGCCTTGTGGCTTTTCAGTACTAGACAGTATTTTAAAAAACTTTCCTGATAAACTTAAAAACCAAGATTTAGGCTCTGTGCTGAATGGATCCTCTCAAGGATCCTCTCAAGGTTGAATCCAACCCCCCAGTAGCATCTGAAGACTCAATCGACTTGTTGACGCTTGGGATGCACTGGTCATCTGTTGATTAAAGTTTTGTCTGCAGTGTCTGTTGTAGAAAGACTTTCTTGTGCACTAGATGGTTTTCTTTTTTCTAGTTTGGGTCAGAAAACAAGGAATAATTAGACCGCAACAGAAAAATAATTTCCTTACATAAACACAAGGAATTTTCAGTAGACCACTATTGTGTTCACCTCAGAGTAAACACGATAGTGTTTAGCTGCTGTATTTCACAGCTTTGAGGTGGGCTTGTGCTCTTTGACTATAGCATGTTCAGATGCTTCAGATTTTGAAATTGTTTTTCTAGTAGTCTAAAGTTGCCTCTGAGATGATGAAACTATCTGAAATATCAAAGTGTCCAAGTGATTTATGAAATACAATTTACATCTTAGGTGGAAAATGAAGAGTTGAGACATCTTATGTGGTCTTCAGTTCTGTTTTACAAGACTCCTAATGTGGAAGTGGTGGCTTGTGTGCTTCTCTCAACGAAAGCTATTTACTTTCTGTTGGATGATTCTTTCATTCATGCTGATGAGCGACAGTCAGGTAGGATAGCTATTTTGATCCTTTAATAAGGTTACCAACTTAATCCCTGTCTGTGTATTTGTCTTCAGTTTAAGTACCAGTTTTGGTTGATTCTCTTACTTGGACCCCCTAGTTGAGGGAGAGAGTGTCAGAGTTTGCTGTACACAAAATAAGTGCATGAGGCTTTTTTCAAAAAAACTGGGTCTTGAGTCATGGCTGCTTCTCAAACAGACTCTTCCATGTGCTGTTGTGTCCATGCTTTTCTCAGATGTCTTTTTATAGCCCCTAGCATCACCTGGGCAGCTAAAGGCCCTTTTGTAACCAAAATAAGTGAAGGGTAATGGAGCTCATGGTGCACAATCAATTCATGCAAGAGGTTTGTGAATACATCTGCTGATTAGCTGAGAG